GGATTCTGCCCTCTGCAGAACTGAACTGCAGGCAGCAGCAGGACTTGCTCCCAAATCTCTGTGAGCATTTTTGGGATAAGACTCCCCCAGGCAGCAAGGCTGGGTGGTGCTATGTCTGAACGGAGTCATCCATGCAGTGCTGCACAGCCTCTGCTTTGTGTGCAGCACAGAGAGCTTGCTTTCAAGGCTGCTACGGTTTGTAGGAAGTAGGAGGGGAAGTTAAAGGTAAGCTTAAGAAAACTGAGATCTCTGATCTCGGTGGTCCCCTGCTGAGTTGTGCTGGGCTGGCTGAGGAGACCTGCTGGTGGTCATCCCCTGAGCTGACGTCCCTCTGACTGCCCCTGCCCACACAGAACTCCCTGCACAAATGTACTCGGGCCCCTCAGCAGCTGCAGTTTCACTTCCAACACATTTGCTTGACCCAAAATGAATGGCGTTGGGGTGGCCACTGCTGCTCTTCAGTGCAGGGGAGGAGGGGAGTGGAGGCTGGAGATGCAGGAGACGTGCTCCAAGGAGGTCAGGGCAGACCTGCCTGGCACAGTTTATGCCCCCATCCCCAGCCCAGGTGTGTGGTGACAGTGGCCATGGCCCAGAGCATCCTGCTCCAGCTGGCCATGCTCCAAGCAGGGATTGGACTTCAGCTGGTCTGGGGGGTTCTCCAAAAATTCATCCATTTGCAGGGAGTGCAGCTTTCGCAGAGAGGCAATCTTGCAGACCTCCTGTTTCCTGAGAATTACTCCAGCTGGGGGAACAGAGTAGATCATCTGCAACCTGATGTATTGGCTTGTCCTATGACTGGCCACAGTTCTGGGTCCTTTGGCTCAGCCAGCCCTGGTGTGCTGAGTGTGACACAGCGGCCATAAATCACAGCCCTCTCTCTTCAGGCGTGCACGAAAGCAGTCGAGTTGGAAATGTTTTATTGCAGCTCTACTAAATGAGACAAGGTCCCCCTTGCAGCCTCCTGCCGTATCTTCACCGACTCTCCACCCTGCCGTCTTTCAGCCTGGGATTCCCCGTCACCTCACACGGAGCTGGTGTCTCCCCATCCTCTGCAGCTGCCCCCGTGCCTCACAGGAGCTCCCTGCGGGCTCATCTCCCCTGGGTTTCATGCCCAAAGAGCTGCAGCGCCCAGAGCGAGCACTGCCGAGGTGTGGGGTGTGAATTTCCAGCAGTGTGGCTGGGTGAGAGGGAGAGCACTCCATGCCTGGCCCATGGAGGGATGAGACCTTGTTGGAGTTCAGTGTCACCAGCCCCAGAGAAGTCACCTCTGATTTGGGTAACTGGGGCTGCCACCTCTAACCCACTAGAATACGTCAGTGAGAAGGGGCTGAAGAAGGGTTGCAGGTAGGTCATTCGCTTTTCTGGGGACAGATGAGGCGTTGGATGCAGAGAGTTAAATATTTTTTCCAGAAAAATTCATCCATCTGGAATCTGCTCTCTGCTAAAACCCTTAAATAGCCAATTCACAGTTTCTACCTAAGAAATAATCACTTGTATGAAGATTTAAGCTTCTCATTTCCCACAACGACAATCCTGCATGAAAATGAAATGAGGATTTCTACAAAGCTTGTGGAGGCTCTTGGCATAATTACATCCAGCAACGAACTACCCTGTTAATGAAATAAAACTTCTGCTGGTGCTTGCCCAGAAAACTTTGACTGAATCCTTACCTTGCAGGTTGCTGTAATTAGAGCTGATTTTATAGGGAAAAAAAAGGTTACCAGGCACATATTAAAACTGCTTCTGAGTGAAGCTTAGGGTAACATTTTCTTTCTTTCCATCTATATTTAGAAGCATTCGAGTGCTAATGCTAAACCAGTGCTCCCGGTTTTTGGTTAATTCCACGTACCCTTCTGTCCTTTGCCCCAGCAAAACTCAACTGAGAACTGATTCTCACCAAACACAGCTGAAAACATTTACATTTCTGTGGCCTTCCCTGAGACTTACCCCACTTCCAGGAGACTGACGTGGATGAACAAGGAGCGTCTGCCCACGCCGTCACCTCAGGGAAAGCTGGTGGTGCCTGGATGGGTACAGCGGGACGAGGGCACAAATACCAGTGACTGAAATAGTGTCGGCTGCTGGAGTGTCAGCTGAAGTACCTGTGATTTGAGGCTACCACCGAGAGAGAGGAGATTCCTATTAAACCAAACTTAGCTCTTCCCCAAAGTCACCAAAAACGAAGCAGGTGAAAGCAAGCACCTCCGCAGAGAGGGAGACCGGCACTGAGATAAGGAGGAAGCTCGATTCTCTTCCAATGCACCAATAAGCAATGTAAATGCTTTAAAATACTGCTCTAGTTGCTAAAACCAGCATGCTGCCTTATTTGCCATCGTTGCCGGCACACATACCACTACAAAGATCATTTTCTGTCTTCTGATTGCTTTGCAATTACAGGTGAAGATTGTAAGGTAATTGGATTTTATAAGCTCTCATCCACAGGCTTTGGAAGGTGATTATCTGTGGTGATTGACGTGTCCCAAGTGGTGAATTACGGCATTAGAGACACGTGTGCGGCTCTTCGTACAGCCAGACAGCGTGTGTCTGGCACCCAGCTGTGTAACTTCAGCCCTGACTGGGAAATGGTGCAATCTTAGGCTGAAATCGGGCTAGAAAGGGACAGATTTTGTGACCTTCCTCATTAGCGGCTGAAATGAAAATAAGCTATGCCCACTGAACGGCTCTAAACTGCGCGAGATCTGAGAGGTAACTTCATAAAGAGGTGATGTGTCCATACGGTGCAACCAGCTCCCTTTTCCCAGTTCTGACCTGCACTCTTTGTCCGGTAGGTTCACTGGGAATCTGTCCTGCTGGGGGGGCCAGCTCTGCGGATGAGGAGCGTCTGCTGGAGCTTGGGTAGCACACCTCCCTGTAACACAAAACAAAACATAAAAGTCCCAGGAACAACCCCGCTCTCGCAGCAATCAGGAGTGTAACTCCCACTGCAAGCTGGTGGCAGCTTACCTTGGGTTGGGTCACTTCAGCATCTCTCGGAGCACAGCCACCAGAGAGCTCTCTGACCTTGTGGCAGTTTTACATCTCTCTGCTTAATAAAAAAAACTTCAAATTTAAAACACACAGCACCAGAGCTTTTAGCTGTAAGACGCCGTTCGCCCACCACTGCCACGGCGTATGGCAGGAGGCAGAGCAAGCGAGCTGGAGCCGTGGGGAGCACCCTGACAGTGGAGGGATGGCCCTGGAAAGGCTGACAGGTGGGTAACGGGGTATCCCTGGGGAAACACACGCCTTAGGGATGTCCTAGCTGAGGCCAGCATAGTGTCACTGCTGGTGTGGCACAGTCTGAACGGGCAGACGGAGCCACCGGCTCTGCCTTACAAACCACCGGTCATGGCTGAGCTTTCAGCAAATCATAGCTGTTACTCAAAAAAAATTATAGTGTCCTGTGAAGATGATGAACAGTGCAGTTTCAGATAAAAAAAATTACTAGGGAGCTTGCTTGGACAATAAATTGAGGCAACCTGAAAAAGAAAATGTGCTTATGTCAAGCCTTAGTAAGCGGGCAGTGAATTGGCTAAATGATAGTTACACGTTTCAGAAGTCCAGCTGTGCAAACCACTTCCCATATATGCAATTCATATATATAAAAGACAATGCCATTTTCTTCCAAATACAGAAAAGTCCACTGAAATTTCTGAGATGCTATTTTTAAAGTGGCATAGCCATAAAACCATTGCTCTCTTGAGCAATGTAGACTTTATTTAAAAATGGCTCTTAGCTTCAAAAGTAGCAGTCACTAGTGACTGTGCTTTCTGCCAGATTTTACTTTTGAATCATAGATTCTGTGATTCAAAAGTAAAAGCTGGCAGAAAACAGTCAGTAGTTTGATGATGAGAACGGAGCCAAAGAATGGTGACGGGTCTCCTCAGGGCTGGGTGACACACACCCCTCCATCTGCAGAACCTTTTATTACAGAATGTAGAGATAAAGGAAACTGACCTGCTGGGAATAAGAGCAGTGAATCTTTTAACAGCTGTCCCCAAGGGAGGAAGCACAACATAGTGACCCTATAAAAGCAAAGCTCCTGCACTGTGTAAGGAATGGTCTCCAGCACGGCTGTTGCCCAAGCCCAGTTTGCAATGAACAGGATCCTTGCACACAGCCAGCTGGCTAACACACACATGTATAAGATATATAGATACAGATGTGTATAGATAAGCCAAGGCATTTGGATATATAAGTCAAAGGTGTCAGTAACACAGTGAGTCTCCCTGCACCCTTTACCAGGAATTTTTTTAGAATGAAAGACTATAACCTAGAAACAATATTATCAGAAACTTTTATTTGTTGCTATTTGTAACTTCACACAAACACTTAAATGAAGAGGAAAGCATTTCAGATTTTCAATCTGCAGGCAAAATACAGAAACATATAAATGATTTGTCAGTATTAACAGCCAGAGAATGAATCAATACATCTGCTATGGGAGGAAGATTAAGTTTTGGTCAGGGTTTTTTTTTTGTAAAAATTATTAAATTAATTCTTTTGAAGTTACATTTTCTTCTCTGTATGCAGATGTACATTTTCAGTTGTTTTGCATTTTTATATTTAGTAGAAAGGTATGGCAAAGACTAGTTTGCCTGCTAAAATGGGTAAGAATCAGACAATAGTTCTGAACTAAGAGCCACACCAAATATGTTTTGAAGTGAATCAGAATCTTTCCACTACCTTCAAGCGATGCAAAGTTAATCCCAAACTAGAGAGTCACATGGACATATGGTGGGAAAGCCAATCTAATTCCTAAAGTTTATATCTACCAAGCTATTGTAAAATCCTAAATTAACTGTTGGAGATCTCTAGAACTCCATAGTTAGAGATAGCAGTAGGTTGATAGAGGTCCACAGTTGTTAATAATTTAAGGCAAACAAACAGCAAAAAAATACTTTGTCTAACCAGGTTAGAAAATTCAAAATATGCCGATTAAATTAGACATGTTGAGAACAGGAAAAGCTTTTGTATTCCTTACGCGCTATTCTAGTTGGTCACAGCTTCTCTCTCTCCTTCATCATATCGATGTAGTTCAGCACCTCTAGAGTCCTTTTACCGGCCAAACTCAGGTACTCGGCTTCGTCAGGGAAGGGCGCTGCTCCCTCCGCGCTGCCGGTGCCCGCGGGCTGCAGCGCCTCATGCGCTGGCATTTTGTGCCCTCCAGCGGCGCCGGAGATGCTGTTGGGGGGCAGCCCCCCCGGGCTGGGGGCAGGAGGGAGGGAGCCCCCGCAGCTGCACCCCAACATGGTGCCGCACTGGGTGGCAACATCCACTTTCTCTACTTCTGTGACAGAGAGCTCAGTCTGCGACCAGACGTCACACCTGGTGCCGCGGGTGCCACGCTCTCCTTTAAAGGTGAGGTGTGACGAGCTGCTCTCAGATGGAACCGTGTGGCTTTTATTTTCCTCCTCTGTGGCACGTGAAATAGAGTCTTTCTCCTGAAGGTGGTTTGCTTCTTCTCTAGTCAAAGTACTGCTGGGCTGGAGAGGCACTGTGCTGGGGCGAGAGGTCTTGGGGGGCTCCGTACTTGCTGGGGCTGGGACTAGGTTGGCATCGTCTGTCTTCAAGGACCCGCCATTCAGATATTTCTTCTTTTTGACTGTGTCTTCCGCTTCAGACTGTTTGAACAGAATTGTGTGAATGCAACTGGTTAAACAGTTCAATAACTGAGGACTAAGTCAACGACTACCTAATAACTAAACTAATGAAATAAACAGAAAGGCCATAACTGTCTGGTTTTGGTTGTTTGGTTTTTTCCAGCCTTTCTCCAGGAGTACACTCCTGGTCTTTATTGACGAGAAGGAGGGTAAGGTGGACCTTTACTCTCACACAGTGTTTATATTCTTACATTGTGGCATTTTTGTGTTCAAGAATGGCTGAAAACACAGAGCGTGGCAAATCCTCCTGCCCTACAGGCATGTAATGTAAGGCAGCTACACACCAAGGAAGAGAGCAGAAGCTTGCTTAGCCTCTTCCCACAGTTGTGTCCCTGTAACTCCACAAGGCCTGGTGTTATCCAGAGACCAGACCACACGTCTGTTAAACTACTTTGGAAAATTTACAGCTAATCATTTCTTATCTTCCTCACACATGGCGTTGCCTTGCACAAAACAAAACCATAAATAAGATTCCAGCTACATCCACCCTTAGATGCACTCAGGCACACAGATATCATTCAAACCCATAAAAGGGTCAGTACTCACCATGTCAGGACTACAGCTGGAACAGCTCTCGGTCTGCCTTGGGGAGTAACAGGGAGACTGACTGCTGAGTGATGACTCCACATCTGAAAAACGAAATGAGAAGGAAAGAAAGGTTACTCTCCAAAAACTCCTCAAACATCCCACTCCCAAGCACAGCATGTAGAACAGTTCTGACATACTGTTTAAAGAATAAAGTGTTTGAGAGGTAGTTTAGTTCTTGGCAATAGCCAGTTCTTCTCCTGTCAGGACAACACATTTTAACAGACAGTGTGAGATGGGTGCCTCGAAGCTTTGGCTCTGCCTCTGATCAGCAGCCTGCATGGGAGCAGAACCGTGCTACCCAAAAAAGGGGAAGGACTCTGCAGATCAGAGGCAGGGAGAGAACGGAGAAAACTTCCTGCACACATTGGCTGCCACACAAGTTACGTGTTTTTCTCTTGGAGGCCCTTGGGAGATCTTCTGCTCTGAAATGCAGCCAGCACAGCTGACTCCTACAGCTACTGAGGGAGCAAGAAGGACCAGGGCTCTCCCTGCTGACTCCCCTCACTCTGTCCACATGGGGAACCGCAGCATATAGTGGAAGAGAATAAAGACAACTAAAAACCAGTAAAGTCTAGACCAGTGAAATGGCACATGTCAAATATCTAATGAAGATACACATTAATAGAAAAAATACATCCAAGATTTTTTTCCAACTAACAGAGACCTGCAGGAATTTGCCACAGAGATCAGCTTCAGGGCAGGTAAGACTGCGCTGGAGAAGGAATCTGCAGCGAAAAGGGCAGACAAGAAGCTCTTTTGGGGGCTTTTTGAAGCTGAAACAAGCCCTTTGCTTGACCTGGGGCTGTCAGCTGGTGGGTGGTGCTGCTGAGGGTGACTGGGTGGAGCTGCCACCACCCCCAGGTGATTGCACCTCCAGGTGATAAGTAGCCTCAGGGAGGGCAGGGACTAGTCCCTGGCCACAGAGCCCAGAGGGAGCACCCTGTGCTGGGTGCGTGCCCTGGTGGGGGCAGCAGCTGCAGTCTGTATGGCCAGGCCCTGCGCCTCTACCCAAGTACAAGGTACGTTCAGTCAGTCTGGGGGGCTCAGCTACGGTTTCTACCTGGTTGAAAGCTGTTTTTAGGAAAGTTGTGGGCACCCAGACAGAGGTCCCATGCAAACATGTGGGTGTCCAGGCCTCTGGCTGCAGAGATTGCAGGAGCCTGGCACTCGCAAGGGTGGGCAGCGGGGACAACACCTGTATCAGATGTGAACAGGTGAATGATCTGCTCAGCCTGGTGGCCCAGCTGAAGGATGAAGTGGAGAGGCTGAGGAGCATCAAGGAGTGCAAGAAAGATAGTAATAGAGGAGTAGGGGAACAGGTTGAGCCCCCATGTAAATCAGAGGACCCCCTCCCCTCTTGTCCCTAAGCAATGGGAGGAGATCTCAGAGAAGCAGGGAATGGAAACAGGTCCCTGCTCGGGGGAGCAGGTGAGTCCCCTCCCGGCCCCTCCCAGCTCCCCAGTTACCCCTGCAGAACAGGTATGGAGTCCCGCAGGAGGAACTGGCTGATGGAGAGAAGGATGGCATGCCAAGACTAGAAAAGTCAGGAAGTACACATCACTATAGATGCAACATCACTACTAGCTCCAAAAGGAAAAGGAGAAGGGACGTTGTTGTGGGTGACTCTCTGCTGAGGGGGGCAGAGGGACCAATATGCCGCCCTGACCCACTTCACAGGAAAGTCGGCTGCCTTCCCGGGGCACAGGTCAGGGATGTGATGGACAAACTTCCAGCTCTAGGTGTTCCTGCTTTAGCAGGGGAGTTGGACCAGATGATCTCTAGAGGTCCCTTCTAACTCTGACAATTCCGTGAATACAAAGAAAGAAAACTACTGGCATTTTCTTGGCATTTTACCATGTGGGGAACTTGAGTTCTGGTGTTCAGATTAATATTCTTGACCTCTCTTGTGGATTTATTTTATATTCTTTTTGGCAGTTACCCCTACTTTCAGAGCTGGCTTTCAGTTTAGTGGACAACTTTAGAGGAAGTGGGACAATGAAAAATATGTGTGTAGTACTCACCGTAGGGAAGTTAATCTGAATTTATCTCTTCAAGGAAAAGCAAATACAGATAGTTCTTAGTTACCTGGTAATGCTAGTCTTCCTTATACAGTGCTGTGTGAATCAAAAATACAAACCCTCATCAAACGTAACATCCTAAAAAGATCAAAACGCTTCTCCCTGGCTTTAAAAGTAACTGATTCAGTTTCACATTTTTCATTTAATAATGTATAAATGGTACTAACCCTTCTCCATCTCGTGAAGATTTGAACTCACTCCAACCTTATACTCTTTCTCTTGTGCTGTTGTGAACTTTTAAAAATAAGTAAGTGTTAATAGCAAGGGCTCAATTGGATCAGCACCTCGGGTTAAGTGAGGAACATTCAGTTTCTGTATTACATAAAAGAGTTACTACATCATACCAAAAATTATTTTAAGAGGAACAAAGCCCCTGAGGAATACTGTATGTACCTGGCAAATATCTACAAGATTCTTTACATGTATACAAGCATAAAGCTGCTTTATCATACTGAAGTGTCCTGCAGAATCTCATCCTAAGGGTTAATGGGTAACTTAGGCAATTTATTTCAGGAATTCTGCTTAGGTGTGAATCAAATCATGTAAATTACGGGCCTGAAATGGCTATCTATCCGAACCACTTAATTAGAAGCTGTTCTTTCTGGATTCCCTATATAAACTACGAAGGAAAGGAAGCTTCCACAAAAGGTAATTCAGAGAAGCTAAATTCAGTTTCTAACTATTGTGGACATTCTTTATCCACCCCAAATGAATGGTGCAAACAGTTGGTTTGCCAAAAAAATATGTCTCTTTATAAAGTTACCTTTTCAAAGCCAAAGAACTGTTTCTGCCTCCAGACTGATTCCTTCACAGACTCGTCGTCACTGAGGGATGCAAACAGAGTTCTCTGATCTCCCCTCCTGTACTTTAATTTTCTTTCTGATCTAAAGTCATTACTGGTGACTTTTTTGTCTCCAATTTTTATTTTGTCTTTGGTAACCATGAAATGCTTCCCACTATTGAGATCATTGAACTTATTTCTGAACCTGAGATTTAGCACCAAGAATCTGTTTTTCACAAGCTTCACTTCTGCTGAAATGCAAAATGTAATATGAGAGATAACAGAGGATAGTGCTGCTTTGTAAAATGGAAGGTGTTATGGATCAGAGTCTGTGATAAAACCGCCTTTTGCGAAACAAGGGAAACTCATATATGTTAACTTCAGCCCATGGAAGACACTAACTTCCTCTGCTGTCAGTGGAAGGAGAGAGGGTCTTTTAGAGGATATGCCAGAGCAACAAATTAACTTTAGGGACTCAGAATTGTCCCATGAAACAGTCTTTCTCTGTACTTATTATAGGCGGATGAACAGTGGTGTAAAAGGCTTACATGTGCATAAGTTTATTCACATTATTCACTACTATTTTCACTGGAAGAACTTGGGTCCTCAGTAATGCTGTTTAGAATTTGTTTAGAATTTCATGTTCTCTTAGCATGTTTTCTCCAATTCAGCAAGGTCTCTGCAGTTATCACTAGTTAATGGATCGATAATTTATACAGCACTCACCCTTTTTTTCTTGAGTAGTTCTGCACATTCTCCGTTAAGTTGATCTTCTGATCATGGTGATAAGCAAATGTCTCTAAAATAAAACAGTAAACCTTGATTTTAAAATGCAATAGCAGAAATGCTTCTGTCAGCTTATAAAAATCATTTTAATAATTGGGTTTAAAATCACTGCATTCTGAAGATTCATGACGTTTTCAGTGAGGGAAGACACGTCTCTGGTTCTGAAAACATGTCTTTAAAAGGAGAATAAAAAACAGAATGTAAGTCCTTAAAATATTGACACTCACCATTTTTTTCAAGATTTAGAGGTTTTTCTGTGTTTTCAGAGGGTCTGAAGTAGTGCAGTTGCCCACGACAGTCCTGTAGGTAGGTTTTATGAAGTCCACTGGTTTCCTCGTAGCTTGCGCTTGAGGCATTGCTACTTTTAAGCAAAACCTGTTCTGGAGCTGTAAAGATGCTTTCAAGGTGTCTGTCTACAGATCTTCTTTTTGCATTGCTTTCAAGATAAGCCTCTCTAGTATCATAAGGATAATTTCTATCGGGCATTTGATTTCTATCATCAGGATCAATGAAAAAAATTGTGCTGCTTTGGTTAACAAAAGGATTAAAATGCTTTGTGGAAGGATTATTATGGATTGTGTGGGTCTCATCTTCAAACAGTGCCAGAAAGGAACAATCTTGGGGAGCTTTTAGTTCTGCAGTTTCTTTCACAACATCAAACAATGGTTCTTTTATTCCTTCGCTGTTTTCTGATCCATTACTGGTCATTATCACTGGATTCTTTCTGGCAGAATTCATATAGTCTAGCCTGGGGGTGCTGTGGGTGGGGTAGAAAAGAAAAAAGAGTTTGCTCAGTATGTAAATAAGTAAAATACCAACTGCTAACACAACAAATTACGCTAACTTGATGATAAAACTCTCAAAGACTTTACTGCTCATCACACTTGCTTTTGTCCCAGATGTACATTATTTCAACTCAATAATTATCCTGTATTTTATTTCCATTTTACAGCAAGGTTGATTTTAAAAGGGTTTTATATCATGATGTCTCCAAATGTATCAAGACATGGACCACATCCTCCTGAGTAGGGAACTGTGATTTTATAAATCAGCCACAGTATGTCACTGCTGCTCCACCAGCTGACCAAAGTAGTCCACTTTGGGAAAACAAAACACAAAAAAAAAAAAAAGAAAAAGAGGAAGCTCTCTACAGCTCTCTCCTGTACTAAAAGCCCATAATAAGCTGTGTGTACTACTTAACTCCTGGTCTCTTTAGCAAGTGACTTCCATTTGTACTTGAGGTCATTCATCCTAACTCAGCACAGAATTTTTCTATTCTGCTCTCAGGAAGCCAGTCAGACATTTCGTTTTGCCCATATTTCCCTACCCCACTTCTGATAACAGTGGTTTTGAAGATGTTACCATGCTAGCATCGTTAGCATGAAAGTTATCATGCTTTCACTTACTCGGCTATCAACCTAACATTTTTGCTGCTTTTTTCTAGACTTGATCGGCTGACTGGCCTTTCAGACAATCTCAGCAAAAAATTGAGAGACTTCTGAAGCACAGAGTCTTGATGAAGAAGCTCATTCAATAAATGTCCTTTCTTTAAAAATTTTTGAGAAATGTTGTCAATGGAACTTGAAAACTGAAATGTAGTACAGAAAACTCTTACTAGAGAAAAATTCTGTAATGTTTTGATCAGCAAATACTTGGAACTGGATAAAGATCCTAGAGAAATTAAATGAGAAAGTAATGTCCTCTACTTACAGACACCTCCCCAGACACACTAGAGTTTGTTTCTGGAGAAACTTGGATAGATCTACATGGGGAAGATAAAACGATTTTGTGAAGCAATTCAGAGGCTCCTTCTTCACTCCAGCTGAATATTTTGTAATGCTAAGTAAGAGTTAATAGTAGATGATGAGGAAATAAGACATCTAAAATTTGTATTTAATACTTAATGATCTTGAGGTGCCACAGCTCTCAGATGTATGCACATTGATTACATCATCAGTATGTTACAATTTCATTAAACAATTGCATACGTTTATACTCTACTTTTCATATACAGGGAAAGAAACTCCATTTCCAGGAGAACTGCCAGCTCTTGAGGTATAAAAAATTATGGCTAAAATGGATGAAGACAAAACAAGGATGATACAAAGAAATGGATTTGAAGAACGGTTGAAAAGCAGATGTTGTTAGTGAACCATGAATGGGCAGAGAACTAAGGGTGCTGCCATAAGCAGATGAGTGCAGGCCTGAGGGCCTGTGGAAAAATAGAAGGGGAGGTGTAGGCCAGGTAAGGTTAGGTAGGTATTTAGTATAAAGATATTCATTGGGAATTCACCAAGATATACAGCAAGGTGAATGTTATCCTTATTTTAGGTTTTGCTGGGGAAAGCTGAGAGAAACTAGGAGAAGAGAGAAAGAGAAAGTTAAGGTGGCTAAGACCGGAAGTTGATGTGTTCATCTCGTTATTGTGTGGTCAGTGAGCTTATCAGTCACTTGACTCCCCAGGCAAACAGGCTGTAGGTACTTCAGGAACAGCAATATAATATATGGCCTTTTATGGCTCTATCCAGCCAAAGCTAGAGACTGATAGGAACTTGCAAACAGACAGCAGACTTACAGAATAAAAAGAGTGAAGGAAGATTAGCCCTGTAAGACCCCTAGATCTGAGGCAAGAGCCCCTGGAAAGGAACCGAAATAAAATGTTCAGTATAAGAGTCTGGCCCTAAACCCTCTGTGATTAATAAGATTTTTTTTTAATCAGCACCTAAATTTCCATCCATTCTTTTAGAAGCAATGTGCATATTTGCATAAAAGTATTATTGAACCAATTCTTAAAAAAAAAAAAAAAGCTATAGTAGGATCACACATGAAAGAGAAGGAAAGAAAATGCCTTGTTCCTGGAATCCCAAATGTAAACAATGTAGGTAGAGAAGTTGCTCAATTGCAAAAGCAGCAAGGTCATCAGCAAAAGCACTTGCAACACTGACCAGAACTAATGATAGCTGGCCCAGATCCCAATAGCCTCTTAGTAAACCTGTGCTTCTCACTTGGGGTGAATTCAGTAACACCATCAGTTTGTGACATTGCAACAAATAGATCATGGTTCCAAGCACTCACCTAAAATTTACATTTTGCTGCCTTTCAGCATATTTAAATAGCTTGGTATGTTCAGACTTCCCATTTAATTTCAATATCTATTTGAAAAGCACTAAAAAAATCAATGAAAAATCAAGTAGCAAAAAGCTTCAGATTATCTTACTATTTTTATTCCTTAAACTTGACTGTTATTTCTCTCTTTAATCTAAAATCACTCCCTACCTGTGCAATGGCTTAAACAGTTCCTGAGGTACTGTATCAGACTTCCTGAAAATACACTGGCTTGGATGTTCTGTAATCCAAGGGTCTTGATCAGAAGTATTTCCTGGCTGAGAAAATAGTAGAATCTGTCAAACTCTGAATATATGTAATATTTATAGTGTTTAAAACATTACAGTTGGGTTTGCAAGCAGTATATGTTTTCCCAATATTTTTACTTTTTATCTTTACAGTAGAAGCTCAAACCTCCTTACAGCCCAATTGAGTTCTGTATAACTCATATTTTTCCATATTTGTGTATCACTGCTAATATTCCAAATGTCCTTTTAGCACTTCATCCTCCCACTGGACGAACAAGCTTGATACCCTGTAATGAGCTGAAGTTCCACTGAAGATGACATAATCATACGTTGTCTGGAAGGGACCTCAAGAGGTATCCAGTCCAACCTGCTCAAAGCAGGACCAGCTTCAAGGTTAGGCCAGGTTGCTCAGGATGGTTCAGGACTGAGATTCCACAAGCTGTTTGGATGGCCTCTTCTGGTGCTTGGCTACTTTTGTGACAATACTTTTTTTTCCTATACAAACTGAATTTCCATTGTTGAAACTTGTGACCTTTACTTCTTGCCATTTCACTGTGTACCTGACCTATCTGTAACTCTGTGTAGACTGTGGAAGACAGCAATTAGTTCACCCCACCCCACCTTTCCCAGGCTATGAAAGCCCTCTTCACTCAGTCTCTCCACATCCATCATGTGATCCAATCCCTTAAGAATTTCTGTGGCCCTTCATTTGTCTTGTTACAGTTTGTTGATCTCTCTCTTGTACTGGGTGTCCAGAAACTAGATGCAGAACTTCAGATGTGTTCTCACATACACTGCTCAGAGGGAAATAATCACTTGCCTTTGATCGCTTTTGACGCTCTTTCTAGTACAGCCCTCTATGCAGTTGGTCTTCACTGCTGACTTGTACAATTTGTCATCCACCAGCACCTTCAGGTCTATCTCTACAAAACTGCTGCCTACTCAGTCAGTCCCAACCTGTGCTGATGTGTAGGATTATTTCTTCTAAGGTGCAGGCCTTTGTATTTCTCTGTGTTAAACCCTTTGAAATTCCTGGTGGCTTTCTGCTTGTCAAGATCCCTCTAAGTAGCAGCCCTGCTACTGTAATAATCGCTCTGCCAATTTGGTGTTTTTCATGAACCTGCTGAGGTGCTGAGGGTGTGTTCTGTCCCATTGTCCAACTCTAATGAAAATGTACTAGACTTGGTATTAATCTCTGGGCGTCCCTGCCATTACTGGGATTGTAGCCCATAGACAACTACTTTGAGCATGATGATAACAGCCAGTTTTGAACCTATCTGATTGTCCATTCATCTGGTTCATACTTCCCCACTTTGACTACTAGGATCCCATGGGAAACCTTGTCAAAATTCTTCCTAAAGTCAAGCTAAATAACATCTGCTGCTCTCCCTTATCGATAGAGCTACTCATTTCATCACAGAAGGCAAACAGGTTCATCAGGCACAGTATGGTCTTGGTAAATCTATGCCGGCTGTTCCCAGTGACCGTCTTGTACTTCATGTACCTTGGAATTGCCTCTGGGAGGTCTAGTTCTGTAATCCATTCAGGGACAGAGGTGAGATGATACTTCCCCAGATCATGCATATGTTTTTGCAGATGGGCATAACATTTGTGTATTTCTTGTCATTGAGACACTTTCCTGATCACCACAGTCTTTCAGAGATGATAGGCAAGTGCACGGTTCTGCACCTGGGCCGGAACAATCCTCGCCATCAATACAGACTAGGGGGTGAGGTATTAGAAAGCATCCCTGAGGAAAGGGACTTGGGGGTGCTGGTGGACAAGCAGCTGGACGTGAGCAGGCAGTGGGCACTTGCAGCCCAGAAGGCCAATCGCATCCTGGGCTGCATCAAAAGATGCATTGCTAGTAGGTCCAGAAAGACGATTCTTCCACTTTACTCTGCTCTGGTGAGACCTCACTTGGAGTATTGTGTGCAGGTCTGGAGCCCTCAATATAGGAAAGACATGGACCTGATGGAGCGGGTCCAGAGGAGGGCCACTAAAATTATCAGGGGGTTGGAGCACATCTGCTATGAGGACAGGCTGAGGGAGATGGGGTTGTTTGCCCTGAAGAAGAGGAGGCTCTGGGGAGACCTAATAGCAGCCTTCCAGTACCTGAAGGGGGCCTACAGGAAGGCTGGGGAGAGCCTGTTTACAAAGGCCTGTAGTGACAGGACGAGGGGCAATGGCTTTAAGCTGGAGGGGAGCAGATTTAGATTGGAGATTAGGAGAAAGTTCTTTACTGTGAGGGTGGTGGAGCACTGGAACAGGCTGCCCAGGGAGGGGGTTGAGGCCCCTTCCCTGAAGACATTCAAGGGGAGGCTCGATGAGGGCCCGTGCAACCTGGTCTAGTTGTGGGTGTCGCTGCTGACTGTGGGGACGTGGGACTAGATGGCTTTTGGAGGTTCCTTCCGGCCTGGACAACTCTATGATTCTATGATATCTGCCCTGCAGTGGTGTCACCCAACTCTCAGTATACTTGGATACACCCTGTCCAGTCCATGTATTTCTTTCTGTCCAGCTTACTAAGGATTCCCTAACTTCACTACTGTTTCATACCACTCTCTCCCAAACTCTCTTTCAAGATGTGCCAGAAGAGCAGACCTTGTTAGAAAAGCCTGAGGCAAAGTAGGTCTTGAGTGTCTCAGACTTCTCCATGTCCTTTGTCACTCAGTCATCAACTCTATTTAGCAGTCGACAGCATTTTCCCTGGTTTCCTTTTGCTGATGACATAGCTGTAGAAGTCTTCCTTGCTGCCCTTCTCACCCTTTTTGAGTTTAAGCGCTGGTCATCCTAATGCCACCCCTCCAAACTCAGGAGATGCTTCTGTATTCTCCCTGGGTGGCCTACTCCTCCTTCCATACTTCTTTTTTGCATTTAAGCTCAGTCAGGAATTCCCTGATTCAGCCACACTGGCCTCCAGCACCAACTAATTCTTTTGCACATTGAAGTGGACTGTTTGAAAACATCTTTCCTGGGCTCCTTTGTCCTTCAGGTCAGCTTCCTGTGGGGTTCTGCCTACTCATTCCCTGAACAACCCAACATCTCCCTTTCTGAAGCGCTGAAGTTCTCATTCCTCCCTTACCTCAAGACTTTAAAATACGACTGGTGATACATGTAGGATTTGGTTTATTATTTTCAATAAATAATATATTTTCTAAAAATAAAACATATTCTGAGAGCCCCCTTATATTTGCTATTACTTTTCTAAGGATGCTTCTTTTAAGAATGCCAAAGCTAGTAAAAAAAAAAAAAATAGTAGCATGCATCAGAACAAATAACTTCCAATCATTTCTTAAACTTAACTTGAGCTAAACAGCAGGTTTTTCTCAACCCTTTTTGGAGCATTGAGAATACTGTAAGATCTATGTTACTCACTGAGACACTGCATGATTATAAATTAGGCCATGGTGATCACCTGGGATCATATGATACCCAATTATACCAATTGTATGTTTAAGAAAGTTGTATTTATACCTGTAATATATTTCAGGTGTCTAACCAATTTTACAAGCCAGAAACAAAAGAAAGCCAGTGGTATGTGACTAATTCTCTTTCTGCAGATATCAGCGATACTGAGAGCTCAGTGAACAAAAGCTCAAGTTAAGCACATTTCATAACACATAATAAAAGAAAAATATTTCTATATATGGAATATTCATTGCCTACAAGAAATGTTGATAATTCATAATTATTTTCACCACTATACCAACTCTACACCCTGAAAAAATGAAAGTTAGTTTAAAATAATACTGCAGAAATGACAAAATATTAATCAAACCTGGTTTTGCAGGTTCTCTTTATAGGACTGTTCCCAAGTGTTCCCCATTGCGTTTGTGTTGAAAGTTTCTTCTGAAAATTGTCTACAGTTAGAGGAACAAAAACCAGAAGAGGACAGCGGACAGGTACTAAAAGCTCTTGCTATGTTGTCTTCATGCTCCATGCTAGGGTCAGCATACGTTAATTCTGTTACCTGTGATAGCTAGACAAAACATAGCAGGGACGTTTAATTTATCTAAAACTGGTTTTATGTAAGTATAAAGCTAAAAGTAATCTGACCTTACTATATCTTTTACATCTCTGCACATATTCAGATTACATCTCATCACTGAAGAGAAAATGCTCATGTATTTTGACACGATTTTTTCATGAAGAACCTTAGGTAATAAGGACTAATTTTAGGGAAACACAGAAGTACCTACTTAAGTTGAAGCATGCACACAAATGTTATCCTGGGGACACATGGCTAGAAATACATTTTTAGCTTTTGATGTGTAAGTAAATGGTCCGCTGTTCTTAAATAGTAAAAAAAAAAATATTTTACTCTGTTGAGGAGAGGTCTCCAGCATGGAGGACAGCATCAGTGCTATCTCAAGCAGATCAGAACACATGGAGAAACTTGAAAGCAAAACTCATGAAAAGTCACTGTATCCACAGCTACATGGAAGTAATGCCTGTAATCCAGCTTGTCCAGTGAAAGCAGCACAAAATACTAATGGAGTGCAAAAGCCTTACAAGTAAATTGCACAAAATCTTAGTAGCACAAAAAATCTAAGTTTCCAGAAGGCTGAAAATTATAGCCTTTATAAATTATGGCCTCTTTCTGCTTAATAAAGTGGATATATCTTAATTACTTAAATTAGATATACTTCAATTTATGAAGATTTTTAAAAACAGTTCTTTGCAACATACAGGTCTTAAATTTTATTTTTTGATCCATAGATTAAATTAGCTTTCTGTGTGTGCAGACTGCATTATCATGTGTTCTGATGAACTGATGTAAATATATCCATACAAGCGGAAGTTTAGGAGAAAATTAGCTATCATTTTCATCCAGCATTTCTGGCCACACTAAATCTGAAATATGTCCTGTTTCCAAGAAGCAGATGAGAAAGAGTCATAAGGGAAGGCTGAGTTAATGTGACATCCAAGGCAGCAGCACATCATGGTGATCTTGGCTGAAACACACTAGACAGCTAAGCTTTTCACTCATATTAAGTAATTCTTCCTGATCCAAAATAAAGGAAATTCTAACATTAGAAAAACATCTGTCTTTCTCACTCTAGCAAAAGACGCATTGGCAATGTCAATGGTCCAAGAACATACAGAACAACATTGTGCAAGCATCTTTTCCTCAGAGTCCTAGCTGAAATGAATAGCTATATTATCAATCAAGTCTGAGTAACCTAAACTAAATGTCTTCTAGCAGATTTACTAACTTGGGTTTTGGCTTTTTTTTTGGTTGGTTGTGTTTTTACACGATGGTGGAATGGGCTGTAAAGCACGTAAATTCCATCTAGAGAGTGTTTTTCACTGGAACCTCAATGAGTAGATGAACTTCCCTATTGTATCCACTAAGACTTGTACTTAAGTTCCTCTTAAAGACCCACTTCTGTCTATGCTTCTCACATTTCATCATTTCACGTCTGCACATTGTTTTTAATTTACCTGCTGTTGGGCTCAATCTCTTTCCTATAATCTCTGTCCTTTGTGAGTAGCATAGAGGACAGATATTCTGAAATATTTTGGAAAATACCTTAGACAAGGTGAGCCTTTCCAGAAATATGTAAGAAATAGTAGGAACAAGTATAAAATATGACTGGCAAATAACATATCAATATAGCCTTAAAGAGGAAGACTTCATATGTTTCAGTATCCATGAGATTTGGTCATTGTTTGAAAAATCATTTCAAAATATAGTCATTGCTGCACATTTTTAGCTTTACATCAGTGAGAACAATAAACTCACTTACATTATGTTCATACTTTACTTTCTCTGACAGATGCTGCCTTCTGCTATCCAATACTTGCTTTTGTAACCTTGTAAAATGAACAAAAACAGCCTAAGAAATACAGGATATAAGATCTGTAACTTTAAAAACATTCTATTAATTTCAAAATAATTTAAGAATATTTTTCCACACGTTTTAAAAAGTGTGATTCTTAAGCTGTTATGAGCAGCCAGTGTGTGAGTGAGTCACTTTAGGGTGTCTGAAGTTGGATGGGAAAACAGTGTAAGTGGAAAATGCTGTTGGAATAGCCTGCTCTTCTCGATAAACTTAGTCATCTGACATGAATAAAGAAACATTATTTTTGTTTAAATCTCTCATCTTCATGTACAGTTTTTATTTAGAATACATTTATTTGCTCTCTCATAGTAAGAGTATTACAGGACTGATTGTGAAACTTCTTCATCTTTGAATGGTATATCTATGTTTACTTAAAACCCCGAATATAAAACCATCATGAAATACCTTTTCCAGAACTTCATTATAGCTTAACGACTGCCTCCTTTATACAAGTACCTGTTCTGGATGTTATCTAAGTTTGACATACGTTGTGTACGTAGTGGTGATGGGGGAAGCTCTATGTTGTGCCTCCTAACAGGTATTTTTACATCTTCAGTGATATCTATGTGGACTGGCTTCCTCACGTTTTCTGCAATGAAAGTATTTGGAATGTCAGCACTGGGCTTGGAGAAAGTTTTGAGCTTCCTGAATTTTCATTTCACTAGAGCACAAAAGCTGTTGTTTTAGGTTTCTTAATCCATTTAAAGCCATATATTTTGCTTTCTCTGTTACTAGCAATGCAAGAGCTCGATTCTAAAGGGCATTATAGTATACAATTATTTATGGTCAGTTGCAGGCTCTGTTGCCCTCCTCAGTCATTTTCTAATCTTCCCGAGCGTAGGACAACAAATTCTACACAATCTGGTTTATGAATATTTCACAGATGATAAAAGTCAGGACTTAAGTCATAGAGATGTTTTTTAGGAGCTAAATGATGGATTTTAAGAAAGATGCTGTGGGTAGAACTGACAGACTATTCCCAAGGGCCCCTGAAAGTTATGAAAAAGGAAGTGGAATACAAATGGACCCATTCAATGGCAAAGGGAAAAAGAAATGGATGTAGGGTGAAATCAATGGATGGAATGAGGAAGGTACATAAGGGTACCAGGATTTAAAGGTGAAGTAAGCAGCAGCCAAGGTTATTTGATTCCTCTTATGTCCTGGCTTTTTATTAAATCATTATTTTTGTATTTACTTACAATTTTTTATTTAAAAAATGAAACAACCCTTATATGAGCACTAAGCTATAAGTGGAAGAACAAGAACTAAAACATGGCAGTAATATTTAAGGATAACTGATTTTATTAACTGTGAAGTTGGAACACTGCAACACTAAACTCACCTGTGTTGTCTTTTTTGGTTGTTATCTGGTTAACAACATATAGATTGAGGAGATCTAAACTGACTGATGAACTTTTAGGAGATGATACTCCCAGAAGCTTCATCTTTGATTTAAGTTTCCTTTTTTCAAAGAATTCCTAAATTTTTTAAGAGACACAGTAAGTTTTTGACAGAAGGTTCAACAACACATTAGCAGTACAAATAATTCTTAGTAAACAATTCCTAATAATAAAAGCACATGATTAAATTTCTCTGAATGCTCATACTCTGTCCACTGTTATTTAGTTTATTTTTATTGCCTTGAAAGAGATTGCAAGCATGATTTGGTCATATTTAAAATAAATCACTGTTCTCTTGATGCCAAAAACTTAGTCCTTAAACTGTCTTGTCTCAAACTTTGTGTAAAAAACATAAGAAAATGTTACAAAGAAGTAGTCTTAAAAAAAAAAATTAAACTTGGCAATTTTAGGCAGCTTATAAACTAGTAGGCAAATAAATCAGCAAGATTACATACACATGGCCATCTAAAATGACACAAAGAGTTCATTGTTCTCCAAATTTGTCTTTCTTGACAAAGAAAAGAGTCTTGTGACAAAAAAAAAAAAAAGAGAAAAAAGTAAAGAAGAAAAATCTCTAAGACTGGGATTTCAGAAAGGCTTTTTGTCACAAGGAGCAAGACACTTTGAATGTGTCAGGGAGATAATTCTGAAAAAATTGGGAAATAAAAATCTCCATTTTATAGGAGACCATCCTATAATCATTAGCAACAAGCACAACAGATTAATAAATCAAAACAGTAAGATTTTTTTTATTTTAATGACAAGAAGGATATTGAAAACTGAAGGCTATGCCAAAACACAAAATAGCATCGGGTTTTCTTCTAAAATGTAATTTCTCTCATGATTGCACATTACATGTAACTAATATACCCAACATGTTTGTTAGTAACTATTTTTCCAGTATAACTTATTTTATCATAATCCTTAGCTTTCTACAATGTTATCACCTGTGGAAAATACCTATTCTTCAGTTAAGAATAATATCTGCAGTAAGGTAAATTCAGCCTGTGTACAAATCAACACTTCAAAATTCATATTGCTTTGGAATCCACACCCCCAAAATGTATCCATGTCCCTTCATGTCCCAGATATTTTTTTCCCCATCACCTCTAAATGACTAAATTACTATTAATTGTGTAGTGGCAATTACAAAATTAGCACTATGCTTAGTAATTTAGTATTAAATGACTAAAACCAATCCTGTCTTGGATCCTTTCATGTTTTCTCTCCTCCTCTGAAGCAGATTACACATAATGTAAATTATGTGGCTTAGACCAATAAATCCTTGAGAAAACATATATTTTGAGAACACACAGGCCTCCAGGAGACTGGGAAAGCGATGGAGGTAACAAGCTGCTGGTTGCTCGCACACTCCCTTAGGTAAAGGTTTTCATTGCAGAGAGATTGTCAGCCTCCTCCTCCTATATTTTTCCTCCTCCTATATATGCCAGCGCATCTGTTCTGGGCATTGGGGGTTACCAGATTCAGTGGTGGAGCTTCCCTATACTGTTTGGTTTTATTCTGCTGCTGAGGAGGAAACTGACTTCTCTTACTATGTTTGTAACTATCTCCTCTAACTGTTTTCTCTCTTTCCTGTTTGAAATGTCTTCTGCTATGCTCGGGATAAATTTGATTCTATTATTTCACTTTCATATTCAAAACACAAATAAGCTGTCCTACTTTTGCAAATACCAGAATAAAATACTTCAATGACCCTCACATTCTTTGATGTAGCCCAGGAAAATAGCTGTGTATATGTGTGTCAGGCTAGATGACCGCATGGTCAGCTAGTGAGGCTTCAAGCAATCCTGTGTGTCAGCACATACCAACAGAATAGAGTAACAGAAGTAATTCAGAAAAATTTAAGTTGGGCACATTAGTTCATTCATGCCTTCTCCTACTCTCTCCTCTTCCAGCTGGAATTCAGTGTGGTAAATCTGAAGAAGACTTCTGCCTTAAAAGTTACATGCAGTCGGGCAAACACATTACAAATGTTACACTACAGTTTTGCATCTCACTCCAAACGCTTGGAAAGTTTTTCCCAAATGAATCAAATAAAGAATGTATAGGACAATATAAAATCCAAGATGGCTAGAACTGTTTACCTTCTGCTTCCTCCTTTCCTGCTTTAATACGACTCTGCTCCTGAAAGATGCAAATAATTATTGTTTTAATTATAGCAGTATAATATTGAGTCATGGTTTGAATTTCTCATCAGTTTACAATTTTATTTAGAATTTAGGTATCAAGTATGTTATGTTTGTTATGTTATGTTATATTACGGTAGATCAAACCTTCAGGTAGTAAAGTCAACGTATCTGCTGAAGACACTTTGATCATAGTTTACCCAGGTAAGGATAGGACCACATTCTATCTTAGGGCTACCAAATACATTGAACATTCAGAAGGAAAAGCTTTTAGACATTTGACCTGTAACATAACATTTAATCAATTCTTAATTCCTTAGAACATTCTAAGCAATCTTTGTCAATATACTCATTTCTCCTAATTTGCTTTGTCTTGCTGCAAAGCCATGCTAGCAAGGACAACAAAGGAGCGCAGTGCAAGTTTCTCCCTTTTGGAACTTTACAGAATGTTGTAAACATTTTGTGAAAAAAGTAAGAAAAACAGATTGTCACCGCAAGTTTTATCAAGTTGCTATTTCTTGTGCAATACAGAAGACAGTTATACCTTAAACTATATATCTTAGTTGTTAAACATAGTCTTAAATGAATTGCCTACAGGACATGGTGCATAAAATGGGAGCTTAGTGACCATGCATGGCTGCAGTTCTGGGTTCAGTAAGACCAGGACATTTTTTTTGAGAGTTAGAAATATGGCCTATCCCCTTGGAATTACCTTTTTTATTTATTTTTTTTTAATACTGTGCTTAAAGTCTTAAAGTTAGAACACACTTTCTAAACGTTTACATGTAACATTTACCATAGCAGTAGGTAGAAGCCCCAGTAAAGGATAGTTTTCCTGACACCGAAAATGCAAATTCCAGGCTCGTATGAGGAATCTTGACAGATAATTAACAGTAGCAGAAAGCAGCAGGATGATTTGCTATTTGCATGCAATACTCTTACACTTTCCTTTTTCTTACAGACAGAATAGTATGATTGACAGGCATTTAGAACACAGTAGGGGTTGGTTGTTTTTTTTTCTAACTGAAGCTCTCTCTTTCACATAGGCAACTTTCAGAAACCACATTTTGCTTGGAAGACTTCCAGATAGGTAAGGCATTACTTTAGTATGATTCTGCATAGAGTCAGGATGACTATAAAGCTGTGTTTAGCAAAGTTACTTTCAAATGGCTGACAAAATCAGTGGGGTCTAAATTTCTAGTAGATAGGCAGATGGTGCAGCACCTAAAGAAAGTGAATTTTATCCTCTCTTTTTAATGTTACAACACGGTGATTATTTTAGTATTTCAGTGAATCTCAATAACTACACATCTTTTTCTCCATATAGTAGTCACTGCCATTCAAGAGGGTGTGAGGAAAGGCCCAGGTGGGATGGCCTCACCCAGCCCTGGCCTGTGGAGGGATATGAAGCCCAAGCATGACCTGGCGTGGGATGGCACCTGCATCTCCCCACACAGGCTGCTTCAGGAGGGGACCACAGGGCTGGTCAGCGAGGGGACACCAGGCCTGAAACACACACTGTGGCCCTGCTGTTCTGTGAGGGGACACCAGGACAGCTTCACCCACCATGGCTGTGCCCATCTGTGAGGGGACACCAGGGCTGTCACACCCACCACAGCTGTGCCCATCTGTGAGGGGACACCAGGGCTGTCACACCCACCACAGCTGTGCCCATCTCTGAGGGGACACAGGGCTGTCACACCCACCACGGCTGTGCCCATCTGTGAGGGGAACCAGGGCTGTCGCACACACTATGGCTGTGCCCATCTCTGAGGGGACACAGGGCTGTCACACCCACCACGGCTGTGCCCATCTCTGAGGGGACACTAGCTCATCATGGAGCCATTTCTGGGAGACTCTGAAGAGTTTCACTCACCGGCTGCCACCGACCCAGTTCATTTTCCACTACTGAGGAAACAGGGAGGGCTGCTGTGTGTGGTGCTGGGGATGGAGAGTGGAGGCCACCACAGGGATGGTTTGTCGCCTCCCGGCAGGGCCACAGGGCCTTCCTGCAGGGCCTCCTCCTCCCCAGGAGGCCAGGGCAGCTGCTCTCCATGCCCGGGGCTGCCCGGTGCGGGCAGGGAAGAGGGAGAGGGCGGTACAGGGTCAGACAGGGAAAGGAGAAGGATGCAGAAAGCCAAGCAAGGCAGGCTGATGGGGAGGAGACGATGCTGTTGTTGCTGCCACCCTTTCTCTATTACTAGCCTTTCTGTACAGGCTGCTGCCAGAAGCCATTGCCCTTTTCCAAGGAGCCATAAGCCTCTTGCTTTCCCAAGTGAATCAAATTCAGTTATTGGCCTACACAGCTGTTGAGGGTTTGTCTTTCAGGCCCAGCTTGTGGTGTCATTGCTACAATCACCATCATTTTTAGGGGAAAAGAGAAACACCTGCATCACCATCCTGCTCTCCCTCAGGTATTTTAGGGGTGACAGGGCAATCAACAAGCATTTTCAATGAGTAGCCATTGCTGTCCTTGGAGCCACTTGATCAACTCCTGTGAGTAAATAGCGACAAACCCTCGAGGAGGGACGCGGTGCTGTGGGTGCTCCCTGTGCTCCTGGGGTACCTCTGCAGCAACCAACACAGCCTCCCTCGCTCCCTTCCCTCTGACTCTGCCATCGCCGCATTGAGCGAAGGCACCCATTTACAAAACAACCATTATCACTCTATATAAAATCTTTTCCTGCAGTGTTTCCTTACTTGGTTATCTTTAGCCTAACATTTTTGAGGGTACCAATGCTTTATCGCCATTAGCACAACAATGTGGAGGTGCTCAGAGCAGATACTAGGGAGCCTAATATTAAAACCAAACCAAGTTTTTTTTTCTTTCTAGTAGCTTTAATTACCCTAGGGTGCTTATAGAATCCATAGCTAGAAGATTATGAAAGTGAAAAGATCTGCTTCTATAAAATGGAAAGAGTCCAGCGTAGGGCTACAAAGATGATTCAAGGATTGGAGCATCTCCCTTATGAGGAGAGACTGAGAGAGCTGGGACTCTTTAGTCTGGAGAAGAGAAGGCTGAGGGGAGACCTTATCAATGCCTACAAGTATCTCAAGGGAGGGTTGAAGGAGGAGGGAGCCAGACTCTTTTCAGCGGTTCCCACCGAGAGGACGAGGGGCAACGGGCACAAGTTGGAACATAAGAGGTTCCACTCAAATATGAGGAGAAACTTCTTCACGGTGAGGGTGATGGAACCCTGGAACAGGCTGCCCAGGGAGGTTGTGGAGTCCCCTTCTTTGGAGATTTTCAAAACCCGCCTGGATGCAGTCCTGAGTAACATGCTCTAACTCTGGGCAATCCTGCTTCAGCAGGGGAGTTGGACTAGATGATCTCTATGGTCCCTCCCAACTCTAGAAATTCAGTGAAATTCAGTGAAATATCACAAATTAAATGGAGTAAACTTATTGGACAGAATGTTTTATTGCTGCGATAGTCCCTGTATTTCTAGTTAGTATGCATAATTGCTTCTTGTAACAGCACTAGATTAAAATCTTCATAGAAAAAAAAATCTATATTTTAAGTGTGTGCCTTTACAGCTAATAAGACAAATGACAGACTGAAAGATTATTTAACTCATTTCATCACTTGAAATAGTCCTTTTTATTTTGTTTGCATTACCATCTAGTGTAAATGTTTAACTTGTTAATACTATGCCTAAGAAGTCATTTCAGGCATGACATAATCAAATCCCTTTTACTTTTGTTTTTCTAACATACAATATTTTCTGTGCCACCCTTACTCTGACTCTTCCACAGCATTATCTGGATTTAAAGGAAAAGACTGCACTTTCCTTTATGTTTGACATATTGAATCTGGTAGTTAGCAGTAGTTCACAGAACCTGAGAAAAGTGACGTGGCAGCTTCAGTTACCTCTTTTTGAGCACAAGAAATCTTCCCCTCCCCAAATTATTTTCTGCAGATAAAGCTAAAACACCTTTCAAAGGGTCATAAAATAAAGAATCAGCTCTTTCTTCAATGAGGCAAAGTAAACACTGAAACAAGACCTGAGATAGATACGGCTCTAGATTTCCAGTGTCTAAATATTGCACTTTAACTGTCAACATTTGAAAACTTTGAAAAAATTTATTTGAATTTCTGAATCATGTCATACTGTCAAAAAATTGCAGGACATTATTATTAACTTTTAAAAGGTCACAAGAATAAGTTTCATGGAGCTTAGTTGCTTCTCTGGGAAGTGAAGTAAGTGTAGAACAAGGAGACCTCTTCTGTGCATCAGAAAGTGAAGTTTAAAGAGGAAAAAAAGCCTTGATTTCCCTGTTTTGTAACTTCGTAACAATTGCTTCAGAATAACTATGTCTCATGTCCCCTTGTTAAGAAAGTATTATACAGGATCTTCTTCAGAACAGCTTTCCAACTGTTGCAGCTGTAGTCCTTCAGCGCTTGAGTTTTCCCCTATGTGTTTCTTCATTATCAGATCAGCTCTAGATACACATGACGCAGCAAAGCAGTCCAAAGCAGTGTACCATCTATCTGATGCAAAACGCATTTCTCCATGAAGGCTTGTGTTGAAACGTTGACCATGCAACTTTTGGCACCCAGCTTTGAGTAAGTCCTCACAGAACTCCTACGTAATCAAATAGGAGTCTTCTGACAGGTGATGCAAAAGTGCACTCAGAGCACCTAAATTAGGCTCCTAGTCTGTGTCCCAAAACCCAGAGAGTAAGCAGGTAGGTTAGGTAGCTGAAACTGTGTGAAGTGAAAGTGTGTGCTGCTGTCTGCAGCATTATTGTACCCTGGAGATTTGAATACCCTTCTTTCCCTCAGCAGGACAGTCTCTCCCTTGAGTGCACAGACACTGCTTATGTAAAATCTTTTACACACTGCAGACAGTGAGAGACAGAATATGTATTTCCAAATAATTTCTTAGAACTAACTGCAAATGGTTCTCATGCTTCTTAATAACTCTTCCATTGTAACATTAGTTCCCAGCAAGTGTCCCCCTCTAATGTTCATTATAACAAAAGAAGGAATTATTAAGTGGATAAATGTGTAGTAAAAAAACATCCTTGAGGATTCTCACAGTTGGGTTTAAATATTTTACATTACTGATTTTTTTAATGTGCTAATTTAACATATTTTAACTTTTTTGCCCAAAAAGTTTGATCTTGGTATCTAGCATTAGATAAATAAACCCATTTACAGATAACTATGTAAAAGATGCAGAGTAACAGAAATGGTTTTGAATCCTTTGTCCAGGGTGGGAGTTTCTGGTACTTACAAAGACCAGGATGCACTTATTTAGGTCCCTAAATATTGACCTCATTATTTAATGCTAGGAATGCATGAGTGAAAAAAAATAATGACTGTGCTCCAAGTGAAAGCTTTTGTTCAGCAAACCCGGCACTTAAAATTTGTTTACAGAGTTGCCTAGACTTCTCCCATTCAATGCTCCTCTGCTCATTCCCCTCCCTGAAACATCAATTTATGAAGAAATAAAGTAATACTATCCTTGTGGTGGTTTTACTAACCTGTTTAGTGGTTTTTCCCTAAAAGAGTTCTTTTTAAAAGATTTCTGCGATAGTGCAAAGTCATAATTGAGTCTGAGGAGGTCTCAAACAGAAAACAAAACTTATTTTAAAAACTGTTTCCCCTTGAAAAAAGTAGTTCCTCTTGAAAGACCAAACTCTCAATTAATTTGACTAAAAGTCCTCCTTCCATTCACCTTTAAGGGACAGGGGCCTTTTTTTTATTTACTCTAAAGGTATTAGTTTGAAGAATTCTAGAAGTTGCAGGAAGCCCAAGGATTTTTGTGTTTTGCCACAAAACACTAATCCTCAGCCAAATATCTAAAGAAAATCACAGTGGGCTTCTTCATGTTCGAGGTCTCAGCATTAGATTAGAAAAATGTCAGTAAATTGCTCTATGAGATATGTAGCATTCTCTTGGTGTTTGTGAGATACAGGAGTGCAAGACACACTGGAAAAATTATGTGGTGAGAATGAAAATCAACCCTAGTTTAAATACTTATAGCATATATTGAAATCAATGACTACCCATGCATACAATAGAAAATCACTTTTGGCCCTGCTGTACTAGAAATACTGTGATGAGAGACCAGCTCTTCTGGTTGTTTCTTCTGATAGGCACTTCTCAGTCTCATGAAATTTTCACAGCTGAAAATGGCCAGAGGTTGGGAGATCATGAAGCTACAGCAGGGGAAAATAGCATCGTATGTAATTGCAATTCTTTCACTTCCTTGGGTATCTGCTTAGAGCTATTGATAGAGACAGAATACTGTGCCAGGTGGAGCACTGGTCTGAACAAGTTTGCTTATTGTTAACATTTAGAAGTCTCCAAAGTAAGAGTTAATGAATAAACTGCAGTAGATGATAATTTTGTTGTCATACTTACCAGCTGCAACCCCTCAAATAAATTCTTGAGGCATGACAAAGGGATGGCAGCAGATCTGGTGCTTGGGGTACACGAGCAGGATAGACTATTTCTATGGATTTATTCCTGTCTGCATTTTGCAGAGTAGAGCACTGGCTCTGCTGCTGGCAGTGCCAATATAATCATGGCTAATTGACAGCAGCTACATGATTTTACCACTTACACCTGTACTATTGCACTTGGCATGTAGCTCACTTAAGTGTTCACATTGCATTAGAGCAAAGGATTAATAAGGTAATGTTAGCATTTTCTTCAGATGATCTGAGAACAGAAACCCTTACAGTTTTAAAGCAAAAACTGAAAAACATTAGTAACATATCTGAGACTTCTGAAGGCATGAAAGAGACACATGCTTCCCATAATTGCATTTTTCTGGAATTGCTGGGTTCAGCTGAATTATCTGTACAGAGTAAGAAATAAATTTAACACGAGAAATATGTTTTTAAAAATCCAAATATGAAAGTTTTTAAGTATCAAAACCTAAATGTTAAAAGCATAATTCTTTCTCTGAGATCGTTAGTCAGCAGCTCGCTGTGGTTGGAGCAGCTGATACTGACCTTCTCTATCCTTGGCCTTTTCCCTCTCCCTCTCTCTCTGTAAAGGGAAAACAACTTGTTTTCACTTATTTCTAGAGCTATATTTTGTCTAGAATCACGCTGTTCTCAGAAGACAGAACTGCTTGTGATCAGTCTCCTGTTGATTGTACCATCAGCCAGACTACTGAAATCCCTTATGGATAAATTCTCGTAACCTCCCAAACATGCAGGATTTAAATTTATAGAAAAGAATAAGAGGAAGAGGAATGGTGCAGGAATGGCCCCCATTTATGCCATCTCAGAGGTGCCTACACTCAGGAGCCAAACAGCAGAGCAGGACCTTCCCATGTCCCCTCTGCTCTCTGCCCTCTTGCCATCACACATCTCCTCCTACCCTGGGTACCACACAGCCTCAGTAGGACAAAAACAGCCAAAAGCAACTGCTTGGTAGGATGAAGCCAGTCTCCCCCAAGTGACACTTCTTCAACAAGCTTCCACATCTATCACCTTAAAACTGAAGCTGCTTAGATCTCCAGATCCTAAACGAGTTACAGTGTCTGGGTGTTCTACTGAGGTTCACGATTACAGCCAATAGCTTCTCTAAACCAGGCAGAAGCACCAGACAATTTCTGCTGCCATCAATTTGAAACCAAAGGTCAGATTTCTTATAATCCCTTTTCTGATTAAGTCTAACTTATGATTTGTTTGCCTTGATGTTGCAAACTAATACTTCTATTTCTGTACTTATATAAGTGATTACATTAAAGTCAATAGAAACTTTGGAAATACTCGAGTAAGGTTATTTATTTGAGTAAGGGCTTGTACGATCACCCTCTGTTGAATTTGGCTCAAATCAAGGCCTACTACTCCCACACTGTAAACATACAGCTCAGAATTGGAGAAAAACCCAGAAATTCCTAGTTGACCATACTATAGTGTATCACATTTTAGAAATTATTTACAGTTCAGAATTTGTATGTAATTGAAAACAATGGGTGCTGTGTGGATTCATATTTTTCATATTTCAGGTATACTTCATCCACATACAAACAGTTACATACTTTATGCATTATACACATGTATTTAAATGTTAAATATCCCAAGTAGCAGTGACACAAATTAATTTTCAGTAGCTTTATTTTTTATTTTGTATGTCTTTATGATAGGGAACCCTCTAAGCAGTGAGGAAATTTTTCTGCAAAGACTGACGTTGCAGCCTTTGGACTCTGTGTCAGGAGCATATAAGGCATCAGGTAAGCAGCCGTTTGCTTCAAAATTTTATTTTTGCACATTTTATTTTTTTCAAACATTAAATCAAAAGGTTTTAAGAAGTGATCATTAAGGAAAGGCTGACAGATATCTCTCATGTAACCTGCCTGTTCCCGGTCCCCTATCTCCATCGCAGTCACGAAGCTGCACAAGCACAAAGTGCTGGAGTGGGAACCAGTGGGCATAAAACACAAGAGAAAAAAAAAAAAAAGTCATCCGTTTTGCCATGATCACACTCGAGTTCTTACACGCTCAAACATTCGTGGAGTTTAGTCAGCCTGATGTTCATTGTTTCTATTTCTGCTTTGTGGTTGTGTCTTGGCACAAATCATTTCTATAGACAGCGATTCTGTTACTTCAGTCAGCAGAGAAGCACTGTTTGAATAATAAGCAATTTTCTTTTTGTAGTTGGGAGCAGAATTATGGCATTCTGTTCTGCTGGAATATTGGCTTAAGATAGTAAAAAATCACTACAGAATATTAAATAGTTATAAAAATAGGGTAAGTTCCTCTTACTGTGGCTCCTATATTCAGAAAATGTACGCAAGTAATTTTAATGTGTTTGATGAAAACCAACCATATGACTTAAAAACAAACACTTGGCACTAAAAAAAAAAAGTGTCCAGTTCTCCTCAAGACAGGATAAATTCCCAAATATTCTGGTTCTAATATCAGCATCTCCCCAACCCCACAGCATCAGTTGCTTGTACTTACTTGATTGCACTTATCTTCAAAAGTTTAATAAAGTCGATGGAAATTGTGGATACAACAGAGCACTGAACACTGCACCAATATTACTGCAGCTTTGGTAATTATTTTTCCAGTAATATTGAGAAATTTTATGATGACTAACTGTAGTAAAATTGCTGCCTTCACGACCAAAAGAAAAAAAATCTACCACCTAGGGCCATGTTCCACAAAGAGGAGTTTGCACGTGGATCACAGAGCGGGACTGTGGCAGAGCAAAACTCTTGAGGCACCAAGAACAGAAGAAAGGGTTTATTTAAAACAACAGCCCAGGCTTTTCTCCACACCTTCAAAGGAAGAAAACACATCACTTTTATTGACTAAAACACCACGTGGTCAGATTTGCTTTACTTAAATGTGCCCATAGATCCGGCTGGAGGTTGTGTGTGTGTGGGGGGGTACATCTGCACTTATCACCAAGTCACCAAAAGCTTCAGTCCTCCAGCTTCTCGTGAAGTGAAAGGTCAGCAGATATGCAGAACTGAAAGAGATCTGTGAACTTTCCCCTCGATGAGAAAATGCTAGAGTAATGGAATATTGCAAATAACTGTGGTTTGGCAAAATCTAGGAGTATGCTGTGATACACACCAGCCAGAATGGGAAGTATCCAACATGAGATCATGATTAAAAAGTACCAAACCCTAAGCAAAGCAATTTCTTAGCCAGTGTATCTTGTCAATGTCTCTGCGGGCTGAAAAACCTTTCTATTTTACTGACAAAATAGCTCGCAGTAAGACCAGGCCTACCTAGTAAGCAAAAATCAGCTGTACTGCTCTAGGGATGATTTTGACAACATTTTCCTAGCTTTATTTTGAGTTGGGCATTAGGAAAACAACCCACAGAAGGCTCTCTGTCCAGATCTCTACCCTGTCCTCACTGGTGGAGTCTTATAAACTCCAAGATTACCCCACATCTTCTCCACGTAACTGCCCAGCCCACTGTGGACACAATTTGTGCACCCTCAGTGGAAAAGGTGAGAAGCAGATCTTACTTGGTCTTGTCTTGCTGGTTGTGGCTTACTGGGATTTTTGGGAGGCACCTGGATGTTTTGATGAGAGATCCCTCATTTTTAAAAGCAAAGCACTCCCTTTCTTTCAAATCAAAGATACTTTTTCTTCACCCTGAAGCTTTGTGTTGCTGTCTGAACATCAACACTGCACTGTCCCAAGGGGGCTGTTTATCGCAGTGATGTGACTTGATTTAACTCTGCATGTGCCGAGTCACAGCGAGGGAGGTGGCCTCCCCTTACATTTCCAGGGAAAGGCCCGACTTCTCAGCTCTTCTGCAAATGCCTAGTAACAGGTTTTTTTTCAAATGTGCTTTTACACACAGATCCTAAACTCTTGCTTTTTCATATACCAGCCGGTACGGTTACTTTATTACTGCATTTTTAGCATGAAAGGAACCAAAGTATTTTTTAAGTATTCCAATCCCCCCTCCCCAGGATTTCAGATACAATACCTTTTCCAAAGCAGTGAATAATTGGAATAAGAAATTAGGGAGAGGGAGAAACAAAGCAAGAAGATAACTGCCTTTTCCGTTAATTCCCCTGTGCGGACCCGGCCTGCTTCAGCTGCAGGCGCCCTGCCAACCGCTCGGGGTTGTTTTTGTCCAATAACGCTGCACCAGCACAACACCCGCTTCCTTTCCACGGGAGGACAGGAAATTAATTACGCCTAGTTTGGAAGCGCTGTCCCGGAGAGGCTGCCCGGGTCCCGTCACCCCCCCGTCCCCGGCCAGATTTCCCAGCCCGGGCTGCCCCGGCCCATCGCTGCCCTCGCCCGCCGCTCGCCCCGCACCGGCTGTGTCCCGTCCCGCCCCCCCCCCTTCCCCGCC